TCTTCAGACAACAGAAGCTCTTAGAAGGAAGGGACAGTCTCTGCCTTTGTTAACTGAAGACTAGATTGACGCAGGCACATCTCTAAGAGAATGTTTGACAATGTCAAATGTGTGTGAGGAAAGAAGCTTGATATTGGAAACTGGGCTATTCATGAGTCAGAGTGAAAGAGAGGAAAGTTTTTAATTGCCCTGGAATGCCTTCTGTCATTTGAAACGATCTGGATTACACAGTTTCTAAATAATCAGATGGCAAGCCAAACCTATGGAATGACTTTCAACTCTTGATTAAAGAAATGAGCACAGGCCATTTAGAGAAAAGTAATGATGACAGATTTTTCACAACACAAATAGAAAACAAAACAAGTTAAAATGAAGTGAACAGCAGTGCTAAGATAAAGTAAGATTAATAGACTAATAGTTCAACTGAGGCTTTTCTTGTGATTTTGAAAACTGTTTTAACAAGTATAGACTTCAGAGAATTTTCTAGATCATGTGTTAGGATTTCAGGGTCGAATATAAACAAATACAATCCAATGAACTCCATGTTCACTTCCTATATTCCTAATTTTTGCATATTTTTAATTCTAAAGTTTAATGAGCCAATATTTATTCTTTCCAGATCTAACTTTTAAAAAGTCTTTCTTACTTAGAAAGCATAAAGGAAACCTCTTTTGTATATTTTCTCTGATAAGCTACTTCAACTGAGACACTAAAAAGTAGTCTATACTTTGCTCTCAATTATGAGTTCTTCTCAATATAGTTTTAATTTTCCAAATCATTTTGGTTTGTCATTTATCTTTATATCCAATTATAAGGAACCTTGAAATTTCTAAATGGCAGTTATAGCAGTTACTGTTTTAAGATCCAAGTAAAAGAACACTTTCTACCCCACTTGACTAGTCTAGAACTTTACATGTAGTAAACTTAAGTGTTCTATATTATACAAAGGTTTTTTATATCATTTCATGCATTTGTCTCTATAAGCTAAGAGACAGAAGACATTTAGAAGTAACCCCAAAATTGCAGTTTTTCTCAAATACTCCCAGTACTTGAAAAGTATAGAACTGGTAGTAAATAGTTATTTATTCCCAATTATGCCTCTTTTTGTCATTCCACAGTGAGTAAGTGAGGAAGTAAGTAATCAAATAAATAAATCAACTTTAAAAATCACACTTAACAAGAAAATGCACTGTGGTCTTAAAAATGTTTGTTTTATTTTATTTTATTATTTTTTGGTGGCAACCAAAGTCACCAAAAGTTCTCTCGTTGCCTCCTGAATCTTTATACATTTTGAAACTCACTGTGGATGAGAGTATCTTGTTCATAGCCAAATACAGTATATATCTTACTGGTTGTTTATCATAATGGCAGACAGGGCAGCAAGGTGATCCCCTAAGAAAGAACATTTTGATCTATTAAAAATCACAAGGAGTAGTGATCAGTATAAGCAAGCTGTGGAGGCAAGTTGACTTAAATGCAACATTTAATAGAGCAAACTTTCATGGATTATCATTGACTTATATAGACTAGCTCAGCTGCTAGTGTCCTAGTTTCATAAATGTCCATGTAGGTAAACCTTTGATAAGTCTATCTGTGCTGATGGTAGCAAAATGGAAATTATGAGGCCATATCAAAATGCTGAGGAGAGAAGATTTTTTTCCATAAAAGTAATTTTATTTAAATGAGTAGCTCACCGGAAAAAAAAAAAAATAAGATAACAAGCAGAGAAAGGGAAAAGTGGGAGCAGCAGGAGTAGCCTGTGCTGTCTTCTGGTTTTGAGAGCCTGTTTCTCACCTTCTTTTTTTTTCCCCAAAGAAAACTTTTTATATTAAGGAATACAAACTTCATGCATTTCATAAGTACAACTTTAGGAATATAGTGATTCTTCCCACCGGTGCCCATATGTAAAACCGGCAATGCAGGCGGTAGCTTTACTGGCCATACCAGAATGCCGACCCTTTTTCTTTTTTACTATTTGTTGAATTCTTTAATAAACTGAAAGTATGTCATTGAAACAATTAAAAGAGTAAGAAAAGAAGAAGGAGGGAGGGTGGGAGCATGGGTAGGGGAGAAGGTAGGGTGGGAAGTATCGGGAGCATGGGTAGGGGAGAAGGTAGGGTGGGAAGTATCTCTATGCTCTTAAATCTGTATATATGAAATACATGAAATTTGTTCACCTTATGTAAATAAAAAATTGAAAAAATAATTCTAGTCAAATATGCTAGAAAAATGCTAATTTCTCAGTGTACAATAAGATTTATCACCTCATCTCATAGATGAGTTTTGTAAAACCTATTGCTTAAAAAGCACATTTATTGCCTAGGATAATTTTTTGTCATCTTTTTCCTTCCATTATATATAATATGGACTTAGTGATTGGAATATTGAAAGCAATATCAATCACTAGAAATTTAGTATTCTTGCTCTGTAATCTCATTTTAAGTTTTTACTGAACAAGAGTTTGAAATTGAGAGGTTTTTTCCTCTAAGTTAGTTTTATTTAGGCCTTGACCTATGGAATACTAGATATTATTTCTTCAGTTAATGGGAGGGAGTAATTATTAAAGTGGTGAATGGAGACATAAAGAACTGTGTTATGTTCAAATTGAAAGTGCTGCAGAGTCATCGAATGGAGCTGTCTTTGGGGGCAGAAACTGTTATTAGTCTCTTCTAGACAAACTTAGTGCTCCAGGAAGCTACTTCAAGGATTTGCAACTTTCATTCCTGTTGGTGGACTTAATGTGGGATACTTCTGTTTACTGCAAACAGTTATACAGTCAGTTCTCCAGACTCCTGGGTTCTGCATTCAGAGACTGCATTCAGAGACTAAGTAGATCAAAATTATTTTAGGGGTAGGTGCTGTGGCTTAGAGGGTTAAGTTGCTGGCAACCCATGTCAGATTGCTAGTTCATGTCCAGACTACATGGTTTCTGATCCAGCTTCCTACTAATGCGCCCGGAAAGGCAGTGGGTGATTGCCCAGGTGCTTGGGTCCCTGATGCTCATGGGGGAGAACCAGAAAGATTTCCTGGGTCCTGGCTTGGCCTGCCCCAGATGTTTGATGACTGAATCATTGCATGGAATCTCTCTCTCTCTCTCTCTCTCTCTCTGCCGCCCCCACCCCATTATTTCCCTGATACTCTGAATTTTCAAGAAAGAAAGGAAGAGAGAGAGAGAGATAGACAGACATAGAGAGAGAGATTAAGGGAGGAAGAAAGAAATGGAAAGAAGGAAAGAAGGAAGGAAGGGAAGGGAGGGAGAAACGGAGAGAGGGAGGGAGGGAGAGAGGAAGGAAGGAAGAAATATTTTAAAACTGGAAAACATATTGTGTATTAAATATGCACTTTTTGTCACTGTTACCTAAATAATACAGCATATTAAGTATATACATACCATTTACATTGTATTCAGTTTTATGAGTAAACTAAAGATGAAGTATAGGAGAAAAGGTGTGTAGCTGCTATGTAAACACTATGCCATTTTGTATAAGGTACTGGATCACTCTTAAATTTTAATTCTACAGAACCAACCCCCTGTGAATACCGAAAAACAACTATCTTTGCAAGAAAGCCTCACTTCTTAGAAAAGACATTAGACTATTTGCCAAAAGCCCCTAGTCTACTCTTAGTTGAGGCACCTGTGAAAGATTGTGATGTTACCTGGAATTATAGCCTCTTTGGTGATTTAAGCATACTTACTAATTTATTAATGTAGCTGATAAATGAGTACTTTCTATTGTGCCAGGAATTGTGGCAGCAAATATATACAGAAATACTAACCTAGAGGTGGTCATTTTCTGCGGAAACAACTCAACTGTCCACTCTTCCAGCACAAATTTTAGAATAAGAGATGTGGTTTGTATTATGATCTATGATAGAACATCCAAATTCAAGAGATTCTGACAATAAAATGCCACAAAGCTGGAAGATGAAACAAGCATTTTTTTTGGGTTGAATATGAAAGTACTCTAGGAGATAAGTGTAGTCAACTCTCAATTGTTTCAGCATTGGTTAGAGTTTATGATTATCAATGACCTTTAATTCTCCTTCTTCTTCCAGCCACCAGCTACTAAATATTTCTCTGCTCATTAACACCTGTCTGGGAGTGGGAAGGTGAAATGCTAATCAACCAATTTGGCTAATTGTTAGCTACTGCTATGATTTTTTTTTAAAATTTATGGTAGGGAAAAGTTGAAATCCTTTCCAAAAGGGACAGCTATGAATACACTTTATGTCACTCTTCCTTTTTTTTATTTCATTACATACACAAATTCAGGTATTTTGTTTTCAGTGAGGTACTAAAGAAAATGCAAAGTCTAGTAATTTATCTGTTCTTAAGTATCATAGCATAACTTCATATTACATATTTCTTATTGGCCAGTATTTAGAAAATATTAATCATCTACAACATGACGACTTTAGAAGCAAGCTTCAAGGCTTAATAGTCACAATTTTAAGTATAGCTTATGTAAGTAACTGCATCTGTTAAGTGGATTTGGACAAATAGGGAATCAACTTTGAGAAAATTACTTACAACTTCTCTCTCCTTTGCCTCTGTTAGACATTACAGGACCCTCCCCCAGCCAAATAAGGGAGCAAGGAATGCTCTCAGCACCAAGGGCACTAAGAATAAATCTGCGCTATCATGGATAAGATTACTTTCAACTCTTTATTTCGTGTTTTCTGACACAGACCTCAAGATCTGTAATTATCTTAGAGGAACTGTGGGGGCTTAGACAGTACTTTTTAGTTTTTGTTCCTTGGGCTTCTTGTGAGTTTGTGTGTGTGTGTGTGTGTGTCTGGCACTGGCAAACTGGTAGGGTGTGTGTGTGTGATTCTCTAAAGTGCCAAGAAAAAAAAAGTGCTGAAGAGTCCTAGGGAGATGAGGCTATTTTTGTTTGAAGCTGATACTTCTAGCTGAGCCACAAGTGCAGCCTGGAAAGGGCTTAAGGTTGTTTCCAGGGGGAGAACTCTGCAGCGAAGAGGCAAAGTTCAACAGGACAACAAAGAAGCTGCAGAAACAGCCAGGAAAACGAAGAGCCCTCACGTTATAACACAGAGCCCCCTACCAGAGTTCTCTAAGATATTCTGCCAGGTACAACTTGACGGAAACTTTCCACCTGACTTTTACTTCCTACCACCACCATGACTGAGATCACTGCTGAAGGTATTGCTGCTATTTTCTAGTAGTATCAAATAGGGGAAAATGTGTAAACTGACAGTGTGCTGTCTATGTGCCCATTTAAAATGTTGCTTTTATGCAATTGTCTTATTCAATAATTATGTATAAGACTGGAGACATGGAGTTGGAAACCAAGGGGCAGTGTGATTTGAACGCTGGGGGATTGAAAAGGAACTTCTCTAAAATTTTGCATGGGGAAACTGTTCTCTGCTATAACCAAAGTCCTCACTGATTAACTGTTGTCTCCCACACCTCTATAAATAGCTATGGTCATGTAACATGATGGCTGATACCATATCTAGCAAAAATAACAAGGCTTGCAATGATGGAGACATGATTACTTAAAAATATTACTTTTAATGTTCAAATCAAATGCACCAAATGATTTGGTGCACTTTTTCTTTATATTTTTAAATGGAGATCTTTAACTTATTTTTATGTTCAAATGACTATATAAATACACACATACATTTGTAAGATTTACATAAAATTTAGTGCTCACTAAACTCATATCTACCTTACATTGGACGGCTACCCAGAGATAAAGCTTAAAATTCCACAAATTTATGGTAGATCAACATTATTTTTAAAATAAAGCAATTATGTGTTAGAATTTTGACTCTTTTCATCAATCAATTTATCTTTACCCTCTAAATTGTGAATTCCATCTTTACATTAAAATATTTCTGTTTCAATGCTTATACTGAAAAATTACAAGCTACAACTAAAACATGTAATTTGTATTACTTAACTATGTATTAAGTTTTATACACGCACATGCACAAACACTTGTATTTTTTTCTTAGAATAGAGAAACCCTTAAAAGCCACTGCATTTTGAATACAATCTTACTCTGGTTGGGATAGCAATTTGGGAGATGGATCTAAAATTTTCTTCTGACAGCTGTAAGAAAATCAGACAGGTGGTGCTCTTGACAGCTTCCAAGTCGAATGCTGTGCTGGTTTGTTTTGAATCTGAAAACTGAAAAATAGAATATCTGATTTTTGTCTTTTTTGGATAGAAATTAATATGGGCACAGTAATTTCTGTTAGAGTTTTCAGTCAAAATTGATAAAAATTACTTGTACTTTCCAAAGAGAAATTCAGTCTGGTACCCCAAACTAATAACAGAAATTATTTAGAGAGTTCTCTGTATTAGCTGTTTTGTTCAGAACACTGTGTAGTTATTTAGACCTCACACAATTCAATAAGGTAGCATTATGATCTCCATTTTACAGAAAAAGATAGTGTAATCAGATGTCCTGTGAGTTGCTCAAGACCATAATATTGCCAAGAGTTGAAGCCAGCGCTCTTAAATCTAGTTTGTTTGTTTTTTTTTTTTTCTTTTCTGTAAGAGGATATCTGGTTTACTCTTTACCAATTTTAGTTCAGAATTTAACTAAGTATAAATAGCCTTTTTTTTCCTATTCCTTAGATATACTGTATCACATGACCTTTAGTTTGTCTTAAAGAGAGCTGTCCATAAAAATTCTTGCTTAGGCCTGCGTAAGTTATTAAGATACCTATGCATAATGTTCTCTGCCTCTGTTCCAGATGTGGACCGCCAGTTGATTAAGGAGGTCAGTTGGCTAAACCATTTTGACTTGCCTATGGATTATACGATTCAGACCTTTTGCTTTATTCATAAAAGTTTTATAGGAGAATTCTGATCATGGAATAGAAATCTTATTTCTGCCTTATCCCTGTGGAGAGTATAAGGGATCTTGGAATACCTCTTAACATTACTCATAAAAATAACTGAATTAGTAATAAATTAAAAAAGAAAAAGCACCACCTGATTCCTAAGTGGTGATCATTTGCATTCTATGATCTTAACAGTTCACAGAATCTTTGTCATTTCAATACCCCTTAAGCATCATCTGCATTTCTGGAATGTTTTTAAATAATGTTTCTCAAATGCTATTAAATTGATACACAAAAAAGAACTTTTCTTTTAGGGTTAGTTCTACAGACATTTTCCGTGGTTATTCAAAGATTCTTACACACTGCTTTACTATAAGCTTTTCATTTTGTCATTGGGACTCTCACTTTTTTGTGTCATTTTGTACAAGGCCTTTGTGTAAGTTATTCCCTCAGACAGGAATAGTCTTTCCTTCCAATGGTTGCATTTCTTTTACAGCCTCTTTAGGATACATCACTGAAATATAAGCACTACCTTAAGAGTCTTATGCCATGTACCAATTACCCTGCCCAAACACTTATCACAAACAAAGCAGTCTAAAAAAACAACCAGAGCTCTTAACTTAGAGAGCTCTAGTCCACTGTTCTTACATCAAGTTTTGGATTAGATGACTTTCCTGTGGTCACTGATAACAGAGGAGAGAGGATCATAGGGAATAGATGACTCTGTAACAGTCATTGATAATTACAGGTCAGAGAATACAATTCATGGCTTCTTTCTTTTCCCCCAGTGCTTACTCAACTGCAGTCCATGGCATGTCTATCAATCAACCTTACCAAGTTCGTATATATTTCCACTGCATGCAAAGTGGATTATTTCATCTCATGAGACAAAGGAAACAATGCTAGAAATAGAATTGTACTTCAGGTACAAAGTAATAGGTAAATTAGTACTGGGGCAAAGTTAAATTCCAAAGAATTTGTGGGAAACAGCATGTTTGATTATGGTAATGATCAACTGACTAAATATAGTGACAAGAATAAAAACTCAAGTTCCTTCTGAGAACATAAAATATCAAGCACCGAATCAAACTTGTTATGTACTAATGTAATCATTTGGACAACCAAATGGGATAAATCATTTTTGTTTCTATTTATAGAATAAGAAGGTAAGGTTTAGAAAGATTATAGGATATGCCCAAATTCACACCTATATGTGGCATAGCTAGAATTCATATCCAGACACACACATCAGACCTGTGTGTCTGAACACAGGTTTACACTGACTATTTCCTCTTGCAATGATATTGATAGTTATCTGAATATCAATTCTGTGCTCACTGGGGGCCAACACTAATCCCATGCTACAATGCATGAGTTGGGTTAGGCCCCAGACTGGATTAGAATCCAATAGCACTCAGGTTTAGGGCTATAAATAGCCTGGTTTGGCTTTCCAGAGGGTGAGTTATTCCTAGGCTAGAGCCAAAATTAACTCTTCCTTCTGATGTCCACAAAAACTTTCAACCACCAATTGCAACAACGATTGGATGAAAAATAGCAATATGCAAAAACGCTTAATGAGTATTTTTGACAATGAAGCAAAGACTTGTTAATTGTTAAAAGTTTTTTGAAAACATAATAGAGGTTTTTTAAAAAAAAACTAGTAAAATATGTAATACTTTCAAATCTCCAATTAATTGATATACTCATATTATGCTTCATTACAATATTTATAGAATTGTGTTTTCTAAGAATAAGAACCTCCAAATAAATCTTTTGTTTTAAAAAAAGAACCTCAAGGGGCCAGCGCAGTGGAACACTAGGTTAATCCTCCACCTGCAGCGCTGGCATCCCAAATGGGTGCCGGGTTCTTGTTCCAGTTGCTCCTCTTCCAGTCCAGCTCTCTGGTATGGACTGGGAAGGCAGTGGAGGATGGCCCAAGTCCTTGGGCTCCTGCACCCACATGGGAGACCAGGAGGAAATTCCTGGCTTCGGATCAGCGCAGTGCCAGCCGTTGCAGCCATTTGGGGAGTGAACCAACGGAAGGAAGACCTTTCTGTCTCTCTCTCTTACTATCTATAACTCTACCTGTCAAATAAATAAATAAAAATCTTAAAAAAAGAACCTACAAATACAAAAATAAAAATTTGTATGTAATGAAATAAGTGATAGGAATTCCATGTTATTAGTATTTAAAGGACCCTTCATTTAAAAATCTAGAAGAGCTTTCTCAAACACTCATCTTTTAAACTATTATGTAAACTGAGGGTTTAGGAGAAGGGTTATGGTACTATGTGCGGATTTTTTTTTTATTTTATTTGACAGTGAGAGAGAGACAGAGAGAAAGGTCTTCCTTCCATTAGTTCATTTCCCTAATGGCCGCTATGGCCGGCACTGCGCCGATCCGAAGCCAGGAGCCAGGTGCTTCCTCCCAGTCTCCCATGCGGGTGCAGGGGCCAACTACTTGGGCCATCCTCCACTGCCCTCCCGGGCCACAGCAGAGAGCTAGACTGGAAGAGGAGCAATCAGGACTAGTACCTGGCACCCCAACCTGAACTAGAACCCGGGGTTCCAGTGCCTCAGGTGGAGGATTAGCCAAGTGAGCCATGGCACCGACCAGAATTCTTTTCTTACTATTAGTTGAATTTTTTTTCACTGCTCTGAAAAATTCAAAACCATGAGAGGATTTGATACTCAAAATTTAGAGAAAATCATCCATTAATTTTTCTCCCGACACTACTCCTACAGACTCTGCAGCATGAGAGCACCCATTGTGATTCCCAATAAAGATTAAGAATTCATATCCAGACTACTTAACAACTAAGCACACCAGCTATATCACCTACAATAACAGTGCAGCGAGAAGCAGGAGATCTGCACCTCCATGTTTACTTAGTCAAAGCCAAGAGTGGCTACTCTAAATGAGTATGACCTGCTGGTGGAGGGGGAGGTACCAGACAGTTTAAACACTAATCACTTTTAGGTTATGTTTTCTGTTCTCCTGATGAGTAAAATCAATATTCCACATACAGTATATCATTTTAAGTTCTAAGAACACTTTTCAAAATTGACACTGAAAATCCAGAACATTTGGAAGAGCGGGCCTATGACAAATCTAATTAATTGTAAATATTTGTACATGACTTCACTAAGGAGATGATTCTTCCATTATGTAGCACTTGAGAGCAATGGACAAACTTCTGGAAGTACACAAAAACACGACTTTGGACTCAAAAAGTTTTTAAAAAGAAAGAACAAAATAGAAATTTAAAAAAGGAAACTAATACAGTACCCAATTTTCATAAAGTAGAGAAATAAGGAATGTGAAAGAAAGGGTACTTTAGT